CCCACCCCCCACTCCCCCCCACTCCCCCCCCCCACCACCAATCGCCGCCATTGGCCACTGAGTGACGGTGACGTCACCACGGCGCCTGTGCCAGGCTGGGTGCACTTCGAGGCTGCCGCGTGAAGTGTCGACGGCTCGACACTGAGGTGGTGACGTCACGCGAGCGTTGTGTTTAACGATTTAACGATATTAGCGTAAAGATATGAGCATTAGCTCAAGTGATGTGAATACGTTCGGATTACCTCAAGTAATGTTACATTTACCTGAGGTAATTTTACCTCGCATAAGGTAAAGTTACCTCATTTGAGATAATGTTACCTTACCTGACGTAATTTTACCTTTGCCTGAGGTAATGTTACCTCGACCTAACGTTATATTACATCGCTTGAGGTAAAGTTACCTCGCCTTCCATTGAATTCCGATTATGTAACCCTGAGGTAATAATCGCGCGATAATTGTGTTTAATGATTTAACTACGTGAGAATATTACGATATGGGCATTAGCTGAAGTGATGTGAATACGTTCGGATTACCTCAAGTAATGTTACATTTACCTGAGGTAATGTTACCTCTATGTGAGGTAAAGTTACCTCACTTAAGGTCAAGTTACCTCGCCTGAGGTAAAGTTAACTAACCTGGGGTAATGTTGCCTCTACCTGAGGTGAAGTTTCCTCACCTGAAGTAATTTTACTTCGCCTAAGATAAAGTTACCTCGCATGAGGTAAAGTTACCTCATTTGAGGTAAAGTTACCTCACCTGAGGTAATGTTATCTCGACCTGAGGTTACTAAGGGCACCACGGGGTGACCAGCCCCTCCCCACCCCCCACCCAGCCCCCCCCACTCAGCCCCACCCAGCCCCTCCCCACCCCCCACCCAGCCCCTCCCTCCCCACCCCCCACCCAGCCCCCCCCACTCAGCCCCACCCAGCCCCTCCCCACCCCCCACCCAGCCCCTCCCTCCCCACCCCCCACCCAGCCCCACCCATCCCCACCCCCCACCCAGCCCCACCCTCCCTACCCAGCCCCTCCCTCCCCACCCAGCCCCACCCTCCCCACCCAGCCCCTCCCTCCCCACCCCTCCCCCCACCCAGCCCCACCCTCCCCACCCAGCCCCTCCCTCCCCACCCAGCCCCACCCCACCCAGCCCCACCCTCCCCACCCAGCCCCACCCTCCCCACCCAGCCCCTCCCCTCCCCAACCATCCCCACCCTCCCCACCCAGCCCCTCCCTCCCCACCCAGCCCCTCCCTACACGACGGACGGACGGACACATTAATCCCCTGTAGGCTGGTGTAACCAGGAGGTTCCTACCAGTAGTCAAGTGAGGATTCTATCTCACGCGAATTTTAAATCGTGTAAGATTTACGCTACGAGACGACTTCACGTTACGATTACAGCTACACATCTCGTACAGTGTTGACACGAGCGACTAATTAATTGTACAAGATTTACTTTGCACTGAATGAGAATGTCGCGGTGAAGATTACCTTATAATATAACGTGATTTGATACGGATTGCATCACATTCTGATTACCTTACCCTCAGTGCCGGATAAAGTTAGTTCGGGGCCTGTAGCATGTGCTAGAAAGGGGCCCAATAATTTTTTTTAAAACGTAAACATTAAAACACATTTTTTACTTGCACAGTAAAGTATTTGTATTTTTTCATTTGCTATACAGCCGGATAATACGACTAATCGCTAACCTTAAACACCCAGTCGTTCATAAAAAAAAAGTTGAAGTCTGTATAGTACTATAGTAATAGAGCAAGTGCAGAATCAATTAACCCGAATTGATATCTTGAAAGCATTTAGCGCGGGGCCCTTGAAAGTGCGGGGCCCGTAGCATTTGTAGCAACTTTTGCGACTCCGATAATAAACCCCCCCCCACTCCCCCCACCCCATCACCCCCCCCCACTCCCCTCCCACCACCGCCAATCGCCGCCATTGGCCACTCAGTGACGGTGACGTCACCACGGCGCCTGTGCCAGGCTGGGTGCACTTCGAGGCTGCCGCGTGAAGTGTCGACGGCTCGACACTGAGGTGGTGACGTCACGCGAGCGTTGTGTTTAACGATTTAACCACGTGACGATTTTACGATATTAGCGTAAAAATATGAACATTAGCTGAAGTGATGTGAACACGTTCGGATTACCTCAAGTAATGTTACATTTACCTGAGGTGATGTTACCTCATCTGAGGTGATGTTACCTCAGGTGAGGTAATGTTACCTTAGCTGACGTAATTTTACCTCTGCCTGAGGTAATGTTACCTCGACCTAACGTTATATTACATCGCTTGAGGTAGAGTTACCTCGCCTTCCGACAGTCTGTTAAGGCCACACGGGGGATCTTAGTCTCGTATCCCTGTGACTCTGTCTCCCTGTGACTCTGTCTCCATGTGACTCCATCTCCGTGACTGCATCTGACCGTCGTCCGCGTCTCGTCCCTCCGTGTCTCTGCGCCTCAGCAGCAGCAGCAGCAGCAGGAGATGGGCGACTTCCGAGACATCAGAGGCTTCTTCACCAAGGCCGAGTGGAGCGATCTGGCCGAGTGCGAGAAGCGGCGCTACAGGAACATCAAGCAGAACCACGCCGTCCTGCTGAACCTCGGTGGGTACGGCAGGCCGAGCCTCTTCGCAACTCAACTAATTGTCGCAGTGATTATAATGATGAGACCAAGACGTCGTAGCAGAGTGGCATGCATGGGGCGCCATGGTGGCGAGATGTTAACTACCTCGCCTGGTCTACAGGAGGTCGTGGGTTCGATGGCGACCCTGACGATGCCTGTCATATATCTGGAGTCTGCGTGTGTCTCTCCCCGGTGAGATGTTAACTACCTCTCATGGTCTACAGGAGGTCGTGGGTTAGATCCCGGTCCTCCGGGTTTTTGCTCCACTTGTAGAATCAACATCACGCGTTTAGAGTATTTGTCTGCTGCTATAAATGTCCACGTGGTAAGCCACTTGGTTGAGCTGTCATTTGTGGCAGCCAGGTCGCTTCTGAAGAAGGAGCCAATAGCTCAGTGGACTTCACCTGGTGAAGTAAAAATAGATTTAGTTTTAGTTTAATGATTTGTTTACCTTTACTCTACTTTGCACGCCTATCGTGTTTGTGTTTTGTGTTGTAACTTTCTGACCCCGTGCCCCCTATGGGACATCTATGAAAAAGAGCTTCATAGCTCATCGGATTCATAATTCTAGTCACGTAGGTAAAAAATAAAATTAAAATTAATCAAAGTAAAATTAAAATTTATAAAAGTACTTTTATTAATTTAAATTTTATTTTTTACCTACGGATTCATAATGTTGGAGAGTAAACCCACAACATTTACAAAAATAGTTTATTTTGACTTAAAACTTTCGTGACTGCAGGAATTCATATTCTTTGGTTCTTTCGATAAAGTGACGTAGATAGAAAAACTAAAATAAAAATAAAGTGAATAATAAAAATGATAAAGCACTCATGTATAATCAAAACTTTTGAGTTATAAATTAGTCTTCTTGGTTCTTTCGGTAAAGTCACATAGAAGGGAAAAAAACATAAATACAATTATTAAAATACAATTTTAATGTTTTCTTTTTAATATTTTATTATTTCCCTTCTACGTGACTTTACCGAAAGAACCAAGAAGATGAATCCCTGCAGTCACGAAAGCTTTAAATTGAAATGTATACATTAGTGTTTTTTTTATGGAGCAGTCTAATTAGTGTCTTATTTTTATAATTTTTTATTCACTTAATTTGTATCATTTGAACTGCCTCTATTGGGAGGGTTTCCACATAACCATGAGATCTTTTAACAATCTCCGTGACAAGAAAGTTCATCTGATCGAGTCACTCACATTTCTGAAGAGATGCCGTGACTCTAACGTAATACCGATCTCATTGACACTGATTTCTGCTGCAGTCACATCTTCCAATGCCAGACGAATTTTGTTCAGGGCGAGCTTGGCCCTGATCTCAGAGAGAATTAGACTGCTCCATACTGAACTAGATCATGTAGACAAGACACTCTTGAAATCACACTTAACATTGACGGGAAAAATGTCGACATCTGATTGGGAACATGTAGATAACATGACCGCTTAATCAGCCACTACAATGTCAGCGAAATGTAAAGATCTGATTTTCGAGTTCAACCTCCTTTCTAACAAGAAACCAGATCCACACGTTAAAAGGTTAGACGTTGACAAGGTTGTTATTAATCTGAGTAATAGCCCAATGTGCGATGGTCTAAAGTCGGTTTTGGCTAAAGGGTTGAACTTCTCAGTCACCCCCAAACACATTCCAGTGGATGACGTTATTGCCCAGGTCGATGTCGCTCTTAAGGGTTTGGGGCGCATCGCTGCAGACGTTACAAGATCTGAAATTGCTGCAACCCTCAAAAGCGCTAAGATACCAGTCAGCAACATCAGTGAGGATGAACGTTTTTGTGGTTTTTGATTATTTTTATTCACTTTATTTTTCTATCTACGTGACTTTGCCGAAAGAACCAAAGAATATTTACAAAAAATGTATTTTGTGTGTGTATAATTTGTTTACCTTTTCTATACTTTGCACTCCTATCGTGTTTACTGTATTGCTTGGAGTTATTGTAGCAGCCAAATAATATAAATGAACGTAGTAGCGGTACACCGTTGCGCTGTATGAAATAATCATCACATTTTTGGCAAAAGTTATTTATTTCCTCGCGATTCGAGACCCCAGACAGAAGGATATTTTGGGGTGGTGGTGGTGCGTCAAAATCAGTTGTCGTGATGCCAAAGCGGTGGGAAGACGGAACGTGACATGAGCAGCACTGAACACGAAGCTTCGCAGTCTGTTGCCGTACAGCGGCGCCCAGTCTGATGACGATCGGCTGCTCCGTGCTCCAGTGGCAAGATTGGACTCCTCGTGCCCCTAGAGACTCGGTCGGACGGTGCCTCGATACGACTCGTGGTGTCGCCACCGCACGTTCGGAATGGGGGACGCGGCTGCTGAATCTGAGTGCAACTTCTGATGGAGAGTCCTGCAGCTCACTCAAGGGGCAACGGCGACATCGTCGGGACTATGAAAAATAAGAATCGGTTTTACTCTTTATGGGAATGAAACAGGAGGTGTTAAGATGTTCAAACACCAGATAGATTATAGCTTTTGCAAGGAATCAGGTTACTGCATTAACCACGCGTACTGAACACGCAAACAAACACTCTCTGATAACATTTAATCATTGTCTTTGATACTGATTGGTCTACCCCAGAGACAGCCTTCTTCATGGCCTAGTCTCACCAGTGTCAGACCAGAGAACAACACCAAAAGGCGACCAGTACAAAGACAATGCAGTGTCAAGAGCATTTATAGCTCGGGGTGAGTAGCTATATCATTGGACCTTTTTGCCAGAATCAAAGTATAAAAAATAGGAATCGGTTTTACCCTTTCTGGCAATAAAACAGGAGCTGTTAAGATGTTCACACACCAAATAGATGATTCCTTTTTGCAAGGAATCAAGTTACTGCATTAACCACGCGTACTTGTGTTGAACACGCAAACAAACACGCTCTGATAGTAATCACATCGTCAGGACTGTGTTACGAGGACCCGGTGTGTTGCTATGCTGCACGGGTGTACTGCCAATACGTACAAATAACAATGACCGACTGCCTCCTTGCGCAGGGATGAACCCGGCCCAGCCCGAGTTCATGCGCGCACGCGGCAAGCGCAGGGCGAGGGGGAATAGAGCGGAGTGCGGGCGGTCGAGCGACTCCGACGAGGAGTGGACGGGGAGGAGGAAGAGGAAGGAGGTGGCGATGCACGGAGGACGAAGAGGCAAACGTAAAAGGGCGCTTGCAGACCGTGCAGAGACCCCCTGTAGACTCACACAGAGACCCCCTGTAGACTCACACAGAGACCCCTGTAGACTCACACAGAGGCCCCCTGTATACTCACGCAGAAACCCCCTGAAGACTCACAAAGAGACCCTGTGTAGAATCACACAGAGACCCCTGTAGACTCACACAGAGACCCCTGTAGACTCACACAGAGACCCCCTCTCGACTCACGCAGAGACCCCCTGTAGACTCACACAGAGACCCCCTGTAGACTCACGCAGAGACCCCCTGTAGACTCACGCAGAGACCCCCTGTAGACTCACGCAGAGACCCCTATAGACTCACACAGATACCCCCTGTAGACTAACACAGAGACCCCCTGTAGACTCACACAGAGACCCTCTGTAGACTCACGCAGAGACCCCCTGTAGACTCACGCAGAGACCCCCTGTAGACTCACACAGAGACCCCCTGTAGACTCCCACAGAGACCCCCTGTAGACTCACGCAGAGACCCCCTGTAGACTCACACAGAGACCCCCTGTAGACTCACACAGAGACCCCTGTAGACTCACACAGAAACCCCCTGTAGACTCACACAGAGACCCCCTGTAGACTCACGCAGAGACCCCTGTAGACTCACACAGAAACCCCCTGTAGACTCACGCAGAGACCCCTGTAGACTCACACAGAGACCCCTGTAGACTTACGCAGAGACCCCCTGTAGACTCATGCAGAGATCCCCTGTAGACTCACGCAGAGACCCCCTGTAGACTCACACAGAGACCCCCTGTAGACTCACACAGAGACCCCCTGTAGACTCACGCAGAGACCCCTGTAGACTCACACAGAGACCCCCTGTAGACTCACATAGACCCCTGTAGACTCACACAGAGACCCCCTGTAGACTCACACAGAGACCCCCTGTAGACTCACACAGAAACCCCCTGTAGACTCACACAGAGACCCCCTGTAGACTCACGCAGAGACCCCTGTAGACTCACACAGAAACCCCCTGTAGACTCACACAGAGACCCCCTGAAGACTCACACAAAGACCCCTGTAGACTCACACAGAGACCCCTGTAGACTCACAGAGACCCCCTGTAGACTCACGCAGAGACCCCTGTAGACTCACACAGAGACCCCCTGTAGACTCACGCAGAGACCCCTGTAGACTCGCTTGATGAAGCTGGTTGTAATCACCAGCGGAACCAAGTTAAATGCCCGCTCACGGCCAACACCAGTGACGACGATCCGAACCGGTCCTGAGCCTCCCCTAGGTTGACTCAGCGTCAAAATGAGTACCCGGTGCAGTGGTGTGTAGTAAACATCACAACTGGGGAGACAAAGACGGTCGGGCGTGTTGCTAGCTGCCCATCCCCCCGTGTGCCGTGCTGGCCTTCGTAGATGCTGCTTGCTGACAGCACTTGACCGCAACAGTCTGTGAAGGCTACACGGGGCATCTTTTTAATTGTGGACCGAGTTGGCACAGTCGCGGGCACAGGTGGTGCATCTGGCAGTCATCTCAGTAAACCTATGGCACCTGCAGGGTCCGTCTCGTGACCTGCACCTAGCCTGGCACAACAGTCAACCCATGGCATGGCACCTGGTTCTGTCCTGTGACAACAGTCTGTTAAGGCGGCACAGGGGAGATCATTGACTTTTTGGTAAATATGTGAGTGAGTAAATGTTTGCATGCGTAAATACGCGTGTGGGTGTGTTCACACGTGTGTGTGTGTGTTAATGCATTTCCGTGTGTTCACACGTGTGTGCGTGTGTTAACGCGTGTGCATATGGGGAGCGGTAGTGTAGCGGTTAGCGCGCTGCGCTATGAACCCGGCGACCCGGGTTCGATTCCCGCTCACGGTCAACACCAGTGACGATTATTTGAACCGGTCCTGTGCCTCCCCTATGTCGGCTCAGCCTCAACTGAGTACCTGGTGCGGTGTGTAAACATCACCACTGGGGAGACAAAGACGGTCGGGCGTGGTGCTGGCCACCCACCCCCTCGTGTACCGTTCTGGCCTTCATAGGTGCTCACTAACAGCACTTGCCCCTACAGTCTGTTAAGGCTATACGGGGGAGCTTTGTCCTTGCATATGTTCATGCGTGTCCGTGTGTTCACACGTGTGTTCACGTGTGTGCGTGTGTTCACGTGTGTGCGTGTGTTCACGTGTGTGCGTGTGTTCACGTGTGTGCGTGTGTTCACGCAGGAGGAGGCAAGGGGGCTGCTTCACGCTGGGCCACCGTGGGAGAGTCTCACGCGAGGGCAGCTTCCAGCAAGCGCAAGGTCTCTGTGCACAGCGCACGGCACTCCTCTCGTTACAGCTGCTGCTGCTGTTGTCTTTAGTTTGTTGTCCTTCCCCCGCACCTCCCATTAGCGAGGTTGGCTACGTACGGTGACAAAGACATTCAACGTACATACATACTACTAGACACTGCTATACCAGGGACGTGCGGTCAGGGGAGACGGGCGAGGCAGAGCCTCACCTGTCATATACTCCAATGAAAATAGCTGTTACGAAAAGTACAAAAAAATGTTCCACTGGTCTGTGTTATAAAAGTAATTTCTATATAATTATACCAGAGACGTGCGTCATTATTGTGGTGGTGGTGGTATTGGAACGCGCGCACACCAGCTCCGGTTAACTCCCATTACTTACCTGTGCGGGGCGGTTGTGATATCCCTAGCCGGGGCCCCTCCCGAGGGGAGGGGGCTGTGGGGTGTGTGTGATCCCACAGAACCCCGCCCCTCAGTGGGGAATCGTATAAAAGGCGAGACTCTGAGAGGAGAGAGTTAGTTCGAACAAGCCAAGGACGAAGAACCAGCTGAAGTCCAGCTAGCTAGACCCTGGGACTCCTCTGACCCGCTGTCCTTCTAAAGGCCGGGCAGAGCAAGCCAGTGGTGCGACCCCAGAGCCGCGAAGGCTGATGTCCTTGTAAGGGCCGGATTCGTGTGGCTGGTGGTCGGGACCTGTGCCTTGGCTGGGCCAGGTCAGGTAGTCTCCTTGAGAGGAGGGTCGTAGTATTGGTGGGGAGTCGGTGAGTTAGCTTGGGGAGTTAGCTCCCTTGAGAGAACGGGTGAAGAGGCCGTTACCTCTTCAAGTGTGAAGCTGTAACGGGCTCAGAGTTAATAAATATGGGTTGCCTCTACTTCAACTGTCTCTGTCGTCACGGTGTCCACTACATTATTATAATTAGTTTATTAATTAGTTGAGTTGTGAAGAGGCATGGCCTGCCATACCCACCGAGGTTCAGCATGAGAGCATGGTTCTGCTTGATGTATGGAATCAGATTTACAGATTCAGAATATCAGAATTAAAATATGTATTGTACTGGAGGAATCCGATGAGGTGTCAGGTCGAGATGGAACCCGCGACCTCCTGCGTACCAGGCGAGGGAGTTAACATCTCCTAGCCACCGCTGGTCACCGCACCAACTCCGCCCCCACACCCCCTCCGCCCCCTCACCCCACCGCCCCCTCCGCTCAGACTAAAGCGGAAGCCCTGGAGTACGTGTGGAGCATCTTGCAGGGCGTGGAGGAGGAGGAGCAGCAGGAGGAGGAGTTCAGGGGATTTGAGCTGAGGGAGGTGCACAAGGCCAGGATGGCGATGTTCAGGCTGGAGCGCAGAGCCACCGCCTGCAAGGAGGCCCTGAGGGTGGCGCTCCAGAGGATACGTGGAGGTGCGTAGCCTGCAGCGGTGATTTCTATTCCCACCGCAACTCCACACTCCCCTCTATTCTCACCGGAACTCCACACTCCCCTCTATTCTCACCAGAACTCCACGCTCCCCTCTATTCTCACCGGAACCCCACACTCCCCTCTATTCTCACCGGAATTCTACACTCCCCTCTATACCCACCAGAACTCCACACTCCCCTCTATTCTCACCAGAACTCCACACTCCCCTCTATTCCCACCGGAACTCCACACTCCCCTCTATTCCCACCGGAACTCCACACTCCCCTCTATTCTCACCGGAACTCCACGCTCCCCTCTATTCTCACCGGAACTCCGCAATCTTCTGTTAGTGCTGATGGAAGTCGCCACTGCTGTTGATGCTACTGCTACATGTGCTCCTGTCAGGGCTGCTGCTGGTACTGATGCAGCCTATGAACTAAACGATGTTTATTTTTCTTATTGGTTCTTTCGGTAAAGTCACGTAGAAGGGAAGTAATAAAATAATAAAAATAAAACATAACAAAACAATTCTCACGACGTTTCGGCCACAACGCAAGCAGCCGTCCTCAGGTGAAAACCAGGTCTGTCGAGGCGACAGCGTCTGAATGATACAGCACACGTGCTTGGAGCATATATATAAGCTGGGTTGGAAGGGGGGAAAAGAGCGCCTTGACAAAAGAATATGCATATCAAGAGGCATTTAGCATATTTATGGGAAATGCAGGTATGTGATTAGTACTACTCATGCCCGTGCATTATGCAGGATTAGCAGCATCAAAGGGAGGGGATATGGGAAATGCAGGTATGTGATTAGTACTACTTATGCCCGTGCATTATGCAGGACTAGCAGCATCAAAGGGAGGGGATATGGGAAATGCAGGTATGTGATTAATACTACTTATGCCCGTGCATTATGCAGGATTAGCAACCAGGGTGTGCCCCACTGAGCTGTGTAGCTGTTTTTCAGAAGCGACTGGCTATCACAAATAAGAGCTCAACGAAGTGACTTGTCATCATCGTCATTACGTGGACATTTATAGCAGCCAAATATTCTCAACGCATGACGTTGGTTCTATATGTCGAGGGAAAAAAACGAAGGACCCGGAGAAAAATCCACGCAACCACGGGGAGGTATTCGCCATGAAAGTTTGCACAGACAAGGAATTTACTATGGCCGGAAGGTGCATACATTCAACATGTAGGAATCTTAAAACTGAAATGAGTGGTATACAGTCAAACTATACTAAAATTACAAAGTCTAACTAATACTAAGGGGCTAAAGTATGTAAAATTGTGAATAAGTGTACAATATAAAATGTAAACTAGCCATAATATACAATCTAAAAATACAAAAATACAAATAGGGTAACATGTTGTAAACTATACAGTCGGGATGGAACCCACGACCTCCTGTAGACCATGCGAGGGAGTTAACATCTCGCCACGGAGGAGAGAGAGACACGCAGACTCCAAATATACAGCAGGCTTCGTCAGGGTCGGGATGGAACCCACGACCTCCCGTATACCACGAGAGGTAGTCAACATCTCGCCGTGTTTGCCTGCAGGCTCCTCCGTGCCGCCGGCCTCCGCCCAGGCTGTGGCGGTGTCGCGCAGCGCTCGCTCTCGCTACGGCCTGCGCCCGCGCGAGAGGAAAGTCTACACAGAGGTGGAGGAGCCCCAGGACGACGACTTCTTCTGTGAGACCCCCTGCTCCCTCTCACTCTCTCTCTCACTTTCTCACTCTCTCTCTCACACTGTCACTTTCTCACACTCTCTCTCACACCGTCACTTTCTCACTCTCTCTCTCTCACACTGTCACTTTCTCACACTCTCTCTCACACTGTCACTTTCTCACACTCTCTCTCACACTGTCACTTTCTCACACTCTCTTAGGGCCGTCCATTAATGGCGTCACGCGATTTTGGACCCCCCTCCCCCCCATCACACGACATCACAAAAAGTCAGACCCCCCCCTCAAATGTGACGTCACAAAGCTCATTTAATATGCTTAAAATCGCTTCAAACTATTGTCATTGTAGTGCATATTTAATGTGGCACTGCAGTCTGATGTTGTAGGAGAAAACATTTATTAAAAAGTATTTAATTAAGTAGAACGTGTTGTCTGTGGTTCCTCACACATCGTCACAAATGTCTGACCCCCCCACCCCCCTAGGTGCATGACGTCATTTATGGACGGCCCCTTACTCTAACTTTCTCACACTCTCTCCTATCTCTCTCTATTGCTCCCGCGCTCTCACTCGATATATTCCACCTGCTCCCTCTCACTCTCTCTCCCTTTCCCTCCCTCTCACACGCTCCCTTTCTCGCACTCTCACTTACCTCCCTGTCTTTTGCTCCCTCACTCAGGGATGCAGGGAGGGAGCAGGGAGGGTGACAGGGTTTACATCTCCGATGAGCGAGCTAAAGAAGTTCACAATGCAGAGAGGGAGGAAAGGAGGCATCTGTCTGGAGCGCTCCTCACCCTCTCACTCTCTCACAGTGCCACTGCTGCTGCTGCTGTTGCTACTGCGGTTCGCCCTCCTCCTGCTGCTGCTGCTGTGGCTCTCAGTCTGCGAGCTGTGCAGGGATTTCTACCTGGGGGAGTGCTCCGTGCACGGCCCGCCAGAGTTCATTGCAGACGCGGCCGTGGCCCCGGGAGTGGCCAACAGGGCCCGGCTCAGCCTGCCCCAGGGCCTCACCGTCGGCGCCTCCTCCATCGCCGGCGCCGGCCTCGGGGTGTGGAGCAACAGGAAGAAGCTGCCCAAGGGGGTGATGTTTGGGCCCTACCAGGGAGAGGTGTCTGAGGAGAACCCCGTGAGCGAGTACTGCTGGCTGGTGAGCTGCTGCTGCTACTGCTGCAGCCTCCTCCTATTCCTACATCATCATCGTGTGTGTGGAGAGGAGGCTCGTGAAGGAGATGCAGAGAAACCCATAGCCTCACACAGTCACCCACAGACTTACACAGAGATCTAGAGACTGGCACAGAGAGACCCAGAGACTCACAGAGACCCATAGACTCACACAGAGACCCATAGACTCGCACAGAAACCCATAGACTCACACAGAGACCCATAGACTCGCACAGAGACCCATAGACTCGCACAGAGACCTATAGACTCGCACAGAGACCCATAGATTCACACAGAGACCCATAGACTCGCACAGAGACCCATAGCCTCACACAGTCACCCACAGACTCACACAGAGACCCAGAGACTGGCACAGAGAGACCCAGAGACTTTGCACAGAGACCCAGAGACTCGCATAGAGAGACCCACAGACTTGCACAGAGACCTAGAGACTTGAACAGAGACCCAGAGACTCACAGTGGGACACACAGACTCACACAGAGACCCAGAGACTCACACAGAGAGACCCAGATACTCACACAGATGCTCAGAGAATCGCACAGAGAGATCCACAGTCTCACACAGAGACCCAGAGACTCGCACAGAGACCAAGAGAATCGCACAGAGACCCACAGTCTCACACAGAGACCCAGAGTCGCACAGATACCCTAGAGACTCGCACAGAGACCCAGAGACTCGTACAGAGACCTAGAGACTCACCCAAAGACCCCCAGAATCACAGAGAGACCCAAAAATTAACGTAATTATTTGAACTTGTAACACACAGCAAAGACGGTGGTCACCGCATGGCGCGGCGCTTACAGATGCACTTCTGCGGCCGTCTGGAAGGTTCTTCCTTCCAATGTTAGGAAGCCACTGGGAGCTATGCACTTTAAAATCTTGTAGATTGAAAATGCATTTCTTTAGAACTGCTTTTAGTGTTTAGTTTGTTGTCCTTCCCCCGCACCTCCGATCAGCATGGTTGGCTACATGCGGTACGAAAGAAGTTCAACTTACAGTCCAACTGACATTAATTATCCGTGGATCCGCTCGTGTGCGTGTGTGTTTCAGATTTACAAAAACAAAAAGGATCGTGAATATGTTGATGCTCAGGATGAATCTAAATCAAACTGGATGAGGTGATTATTGTCTGAAGGACCACTACACAGAGACAAGAACCACTACACACAGAGACCAGAACCACCACACACAGAGACCAGAACCACCACACACAGAGACCAGAACCACTACACACAGAGACCAGAACCACTACACACAGAGACCAGAACCACTACACACAGAGACCAGAACCACTACACACAGAGACAAGAACCACTTCACACAGAGACCAGAACCACTACACACAGAGACCAGAACCACTACACACAGAAACCAGAACCACTACACACAGAGACCAGAACCACCACACACAGAGACAAGAACCAGCACACACAGACCAGAACCACTACACACAGAGACCAGAAACACCACACACAGAGACCAGAACCACTACACACAGAGACCAGAACCAGCACACACAGAGACCAGAACCACTACACACAGAGACAAGAACCAGCACACACAGAGACCAGAACCACTACACACAGAGACCAGAACCACCACACACAGAGACCAGAACCACCACACACAGAAACCAGAACCACCACACACAGAGACAAGAACCACCACACACAGAGACCAGAACCACTACACATAGAGACCAGAACCACCACACACAGAGACAAGAACCACTACACACAGAGACCAGACCCACTACACACAGAGACCAACCCTGGGCCTCCCCTTGGTCGACTCGGCATCAAATGAGCACCCGGTACGGAGCGTGGTTCCAGCCACACCACCCTCACGTAGCGCCCAGTGCCGGCCCTTAATAGGCGCTCGCTAACGGCGCCCACCCCGCCCCCGCGTCTGCCCGCGCAGGTTCGTCAACTGCGCGAGGAATGAGCAGGAGCAGAACCTGGTGGCCTTCCAGCACCGGGGGCAGATTTACTACCGCACATTCCGTGCCGTGGGGCCCGGCTCTGAGCTGCTGGTCTGGTACGGCGAGGAGTTCGCCCAGGAGCTGGGCATCGCCTGCGAGGCCGGGCCCTCGCGACGCCGCAGCAGCAGCAGCAGCGAGATGGCTCCTAGGGCCACCGCCAGAGACCTGCAGCCCGTGCAGGCCTCCACCAAGCGAGGAACACCGTGAGCACTGCTCACCAGAGACTCACCACTGCTCACCAGACTATAGCCACCACTCACCAGAGATGATAGCCACCACTCACGAGAGACGATAGCCACCACTCACCAGAGATGATAGCCACCACTCACCAGAGATGATAGCCACCACGCACCAGAAATGATAGCCACCACTCACCAGAGATGGCAGCCACCACTTACGAGAGACGATAGCCACTACTCACCAGAGACGATAGCCACCACTCAGTAGAGATGATAGCTACCATTCACCAGAGATGATAGCGACATCTCACCAGAGATGTGGATGTAGCTACCACTCACCAGAGATGATAGCCACCACTCACTAGAGATGATAGCCACCACTCACCAGAGATGATAGCCACATCTCACCAGAGTTGGTAGCCACCACTCACCAGAGATGACAGCCACCACTCACCAGAGATGATAGGCACCAGCCACACTGATAAGGTGGAAGTGAGTAACTGGTGTGGTGTGTAGTAGTAAACATCGCCACTGGGGAGACAAAGGCGGCTATGTGTGGTGCTGGCCACCCTCCCACTCGTGTGCCGTGTTGGCTTTCATTGGTGCCCATAACAGCACTTGTCCCAAAAGTATATACAGGCTATATGGGGGTTCTTTGTCTTTGTGTGTATATATAATGGAGCCCACTGCACTACGAACCCGGCCACCTGAGTTCGATTCCCACTCACGGCCAACGTCAGTGGTGAATATTTAGGCCTCCCCTAGGCTGACTCAGCCTCAAATGAGTACCTAGCTTAAACGTGGAAACATCGCCACTGGAGAGACAAGGCGGCCGGGCCTGGTGTTGGCCACCTACTCCCTCGTGTGCCATGCCGGCCTTCATAGGTACTCGCAAACAGCACTTGCCCAACAGTCTGATATGGCTGTGGGAAACCTTTACCTTTGTGTATACACACACGTGTGCAAGAGTGTTCATGTCTAGATGTTGGTGTGTGCGCGTGTGTCTTGTTCCTCTGGGATGACGCAGGTGGAGTGGGTGTGGAGGTCACAAGGCTGCCGTGTCCTGCCTGCAAACCGTCAGTTCATCTGCCGCTCGAGTCTACAGTATCACGTGCAGAGCAGACACCCCACTAAGCCCAGTAACAAAAGTCATCAGTGTGACCAATGTCCATACAGCACAGACTACAAGAGTACCTTGAAGAAGCACCAGAGAACACACACGGGAGAGAAGCCGTTCAAGTGCACCGTGTGTGAGAAGGCGTTTGCACGGCTATCACATCTTCACAGCCACCAGAGAACACACACGGGAGAGAAGCCGTTCAAGTGCACCGTGTGTGAGAAGGCATTTGCACATTTACAACATCTTCACAGCCACCAGAGAACACACACGGGAGAGAAGCCGTTCAAGTGCACCGTGTGTGAGAAGGCATTTGCACATTTACAACATCTTCACAGCCACCAGAGAACACACACGGAGAGAAGCCGTTCAAGTGCACTGTGTGTGAGAAGGCGTTTGCACAGCTATCAGATCTTCACAGGCACCAGAGAACACACACGGGAGAAAAGCCGTTCAAGTGCACCGTGTGTGAGAAGGTGTTTGCAGACCCATCCAGTCTTTGCCGGCACCAGAGAACACACACCGGCCAGAATGCATTTTCTCATTCCCGTGGAAACAGAAAAGTCAGCCATCCTGAGCAAACGCGCACAGCGCCGAGCTGTGAATTAGTTTTAAACAACAGGCCACGTGACTAGCCGAGGCTGTGCCACTCTTGAAACTGATTTTGAATGTGAACACGGAAACCTACGGACCCTCCTACACCTGCCTCACACTCTGTGGGGGGTGGGAGATTAAACCGACCTGGCCACCCCTCGATTGCAAGTGCGGAGTTCTAGGTCCCAACCAATGCACGTGTCCCCCCCCACCCCCATCACCTGGGGGTCCCTGTGTGTGTGAGTGTGCAGAGTCCCCCGTGCAGAGCTGCACTGTTGTTACCCTAGAGGGGACACCGCAGGGCGATCCACCTACAGATACCCCAGTCTGCACGTCTCCCGCCGGTCTCCATGCGCACCGCGTGCCGTCTCGTAGCCCTGCCCCGTGCGACGTACGTACAGTACGTACAGTACGTACCCATCCAGCGGTAGACTGAACCGCGGCCGATGACGAAGGTGGCATCCGCTCACAAATCTCCGTGCACTCAGTCCCGTAGCCCTGAGCCATCGCTTGCGCGATATTCACTTTGCCGCTGAGAGGAAAGCTACGGGGAGGAGGTGGGGGGGGGTGTTAGGAGAGGACATCTGTGGAACGGCTGGAGATCTGCGAAGAAGAGCTTCATAGCTCATCGGATTCCTGCGGTCTGAAAAAATATTCCGAGAGGGCGTTGGGGGAGGGGGGTGTAGGTATGATTGGGGCATCTGCACTTGGATCACCCTGCGTGTTGTTGCTGCCTCCCCCGTTGAAAATGTTCCCAGCGTGAACTTAACCCTTTGCCGTCGCGATGACGCCGCGCGCCGTGCGTGAACGTCGTCGTCGGAATAACAAAACGCAGTAAAAACTAAAGCAACATTATCGGTACCGAGGCTCCCACAGGGCCACGCGGGGCAGGGAGTGTGGCACAGTTTTCGCGCCGGCTAGCGCAGAGTGGCGGCGGTCGTGTCGCTACGCTTCTCTGCGGTGAGCAACGACGCCTTTATAACAACAACAGCAGTGCTGCTGCTGCTGCTGCTGCCACTGCTGCGGTGAACGGTGACAGCCACCCCGTGACCTGTGACCCCCACCCCGTGAACGGTGACACCCACCCCGTGAACGGTGACACCCACCCCGTGAACGGTGACACCACATGGGTGGAAAAAACCCGATTTTTCCAGCTGCAGGCATCGGGTTTTTTCTTTAACACAATTAAACCCGATTTCGGGGAATTAAAACCTGGTTTAATGAATACGAAACTCTGATAGGCTTAGGCTGCTTCCTCGTCGGTGCTGCTATGGTACTCGTGGCCGTCGGGCACGGGGTAGTCGTAGAATGCGGCGGGCAGGTTGGTCTTAATGAACACGAGCTTCTCCACAATCGTGGGCGCCAGTGAGTTCCTTAGCTTGGAATGGATGAAGCCCATCGTTGAGAAGTGCGGTTCTGCAATTAGAACCAATGAAACCGGATTTCTCTCAATCTTAGATGATCGGGTTTAATATAAAAAGACAATTAAACCCGATTGTAAAAAACCCGACTGTGCCACCCTTGTGACACCCACCCTGTGAACGGTGACACCCACCCCGTGAACGGTGACACCCACCGACCCTGCAACTCTGCAGACGTCTCGGACGCGGGAAAGGGTTGAGAGATTTTCTGCGTCGTCCCGGTTGCTCGCGTGATGTCGCACGGTGGTGGCGCGCGTTGACTCTTGCACGTTTAAGAAAGTTGAGCGTTAGTTTGTGATTCTGTTTAAAATGATATATATACATACTTAAACTAACAAACATTATCTTGGGATTCTACCAAGTAAGGTCCAACTGGATACGTAGTAGCTCTTTTATCAGACGCGACCACCTGGCCATCACAAATGAAAGCTCAACGAAGTGGCTTATCATTGTGTGGACATTTATAGCGGCCAAATACTCTGATTGCGTGATTTCGATTCTAAATGTCGAGGGAAAACCGGAGGACCTGGAGAAAATCCACACGACCACGGGGAGAGAGAGAGAGAGACGCGCAAACTCAAAATATACAGCAGGCGTCAGGGTCGGAATCAAACACACGATCTCCTGTATACCAGGAGAGGTAGTTAACATCTCCACATGTGTTCAGAGTATTTGGCTGCTGTAAATGTCACGTGATAAGCCACTTCGGTGCGCTGCTGTCATTTGTGATAGCCAGGTCGCTACTACACAGCTCAGTGGGGGCCTTACCTGGAAAAGTAAAATGATTAATAAAAATCTACTGTATTCTTGGTTCTTTTGGTAAAGTCACGTAGAAGGGAAATAATAAAATAATAAAAATGTAAGAATCAAATTACACGACGTTTCGATTGCAACACAAGCAATCATCAGTTTATGAAAACCCACAACAACAAAAACAATATTGCTGTGGTTTTCACACCTGATGATGATTGCTTGCGTTGCAATCGAAACGTCGTGAGAATTGTATAGTTTTATTTTTATCATTTTATTATTTTCCTTCTACGTGACTTTACCGAAAGAACCAAGAATATGAATCCCTGTAGGTCACGAATCTTCAAATCGAAAAAAAAAATCTCTTCTTGGTTCTTTCGGTAAAGGCACGTAGAAGGGAAGTAATAAAATAATAAGAATAAAACATAATAAAATAATATATAATAAAAAATATATAATATAACATTATTATATAAGTCACTTATAAGGCAAGTAATAAAATAATAAAAATAAAACAATAATTTAATATAAAATATTTTATTATATTTTGTTTCATTATCTTTTATTTTTATTATTTTATTACTTCCCTTCTACGTGACTCTACCGAAAGAACCAACAATATGAATCCCTGCAGTCACGAAAGCTTCAAATCGAAAAACAAAAATCTCCTGTTGAGAATGACCTCACCGGACCGGTGGAGGCAGCGCTGCCGTCTTGGTCCCAATTGGCAGCGGCGGCGTCTCGTTGGTTGTGAAGGCGGCCCAGCTCACACAGCCCGTGCCGGTGCAACAGGCCGTAGTCTACCCGGGGTTCAAGCGGCCTAGGCTACATTGTACCCGGGTGTATCATGGCCGAGGCCAAATTATACCCCTCTAGGCCAAATCATACCCCCATGATAGTAATAGTGTTGAGCGATATCTTCTTGTTTAGTGCTGCCTAACGGCGTGTGCGACTTCACGATGATATTGGTCCCGGTCTAGCACGGCGTGTAGAGTTTGTGCTGTTGTTAATTGTAGCCATGTTTTGATGTTACTGAGCCATGTCGTTTTTGGCCGTCCTGGTCGTTTTTTCCCTTCGATTTTTCCTTCCAGGATTTGCTTTAATAGCTGGTATTTGTGATATACACATGAATTACTAAATTTTTCCAACATTTTATTTAAAACTGTAAACACATAGACTTTGATTACTTCAACCAGAAAAACTGATAATAACCCTAAAAATGCTTCAATTGATCAAATTGAGATTCTTACTTCCATTTATACGCTTTTTAGATATCGATTGAAGTCCGTTGTCGGCTGTTCTCTGTATGGATAATTGCCTTTGAACTTTCACATGGGGCATGTTCTGCCCTGGAGGGGGGGTATGGTCTGGACCAGTCTAGTTTAAACCCCCGGGTATAGTTTAGCCTAGGACACTTTATCCCCCGGGTCTACTCTGGCCTGGGCCAAACTATATCCGGGTTTAATCGGGGCAGGGGTTATTTTTAAATCCTTATATTAAGTTCACTTGCTTGCTTGCTTGCGCGCTCACGACCGTGCAAATCTTTCAGTCGTTTTTTAACCGACTTCCCGTGATCCAATCGAGCTGACATTTTGCACACAGACTCGTTGTGCGTGACAATTTATTTTCGTGAAAAAATTTTACCAAAATTTTACACTTTTTAGGAAAAAAAAAATTGTATTTAATTACCAATTGCTTAATGGTGGCAGGCAACCATCTGAGCCATAGGTGGCAGCCATCTCAAGCCAGAGGACGAGAGGACTCTAGCCGCCACGCATATAAAGGATTTATAGTGAAAAACTTTGTTTTTACGGGTTAATTTTTAGCCTGTTTCACCGGTATCTCCAGGAGGTCGGAGCGACTTGCTCTGCGGTAACACTTTTCCGTGACAGAGGTTTGGTTTTTGTTGTTGTTGTTGTTGGGTTAGAGATCTCGTAAATATCAACATTGTGTCGTTAACCCACCACCACCCACCACCATCGCCTGACACGGCCAATCAGTCAGGGTTTGTCACGTAAACGAAACGTGCCAATTGGTTACCAACTTCAGCACACACAGCGCTTGTGTGTCGGGGAGAGTGAACCCACAACAGCATTTACAATTCGAGTGCCGGTGACGTTTCGCCGGTGATTACAAACAACGGCGACCGGTTTCATCGGGCGATGTGCCAGGATTGTGATCCAACGCCATCTAACCCAGGAGCAGCAGCAGCGACGACAACAAAAACCTTCATCACAGACACCGCTGGTCGCAAGAGACTGCGCGTGGCGCTTTGTGTTGCCGTTGCCACGAATCGTCGAAGCGCGTTCACGATCTGTTGTTCTCCTGTAACGCGGTGGTCATTTCGATTTAAATCTTCTTTCGTGACTGCAGGGATTCATCTTCTTGGTTCTTTCGGTAAAGTCACGTAGAATGGAAATAATATAATAATAAAAATAAAACAATAAAGTAATTGTTTTATTTTATTTTTTATTATAATAATAAATTATAAAAATAAACATTTACTTTATTATGTTATATTTTTATGGAAATAATAAAAATAATAAAATAAAACAAGAAAGTAATTGTTTTATTTTTATTTTTTATTATTTAATAATAGAATAATAAAAATAAACATTTACTTTATTATTTATTTTTATGGAAATAAAAAATAATAAAATTTAAACAATAAAGTCATTGTTTTATAATTATTATTTTTATTTAATAATAAAATAATAAAAATAAACATTTTCTTTATCATGTTTTATTTTATTTATTTTATTATTTCCATTCTACGTGACTTTACCGAAAGAACCAAGAAGAGGTGGTCATTGTTGCGTTCCTGAAGAACACGCGTTGTGGAGAAATAATATAAACTATAGGGGGTGAAGCGTGGTCCGCGACAACACGCGAGATGATGGGTGAGACAGAGGCCGGACTACGACTGAGGCGCGTGGGTAGCGTCTAGAAGCAGCATCCAGCAGCATCCCAATGCCTCCTCGCGTGATGCCGCTACGCCGAGGCAGCCGCACGGAGAACCGCTTGTTCCTACTCGCGTTGCGACCTCGTTCCGTTCGCTCGCTCGCGTTGCATCCAATCCGCATCCGCGTCACAAACAGCGTGTTCCCCTACACATCATTCATGGCGTTTTATCATCCAATCGGCGTTGTTCAAACTAACACGCGGCGTTGTAGGAGAACCAGACTGTGCCGTTGTCTTCTGCTGTTTAACGCAGAGGCCGCATCGACCGTTCCAATAGTCGCTGTAGCCACTGCGAGCCCCAAGCTGTCGGCTCCCGGCTCTTAAACTGCCCCCCCCCCCTGGCGTTATCTGTATCGTTACACACAGCAGCACCTGGTCACAACTCTCACTGCTAATCCTAACAACACCAATCCTAGTCGTCATCCCTGCACCTCAAGGATGGTAACACTATGACCCAACAAAATTACACATCACACTGTCCGACAGATTGCAAGTCACACGGCCCTACAGATTCAATTCACACTCCCCTACAGATTTCAATTCACACGCCCTACAGATTTCAATTCACACGCCCTACAGATTTCAATTCACACTCCCCTACAGAATTCAATTCACACGCCCTACAGATTTCAATTCACACGCCCTACAGATTTCAATTCACACGCCCTACAGATTTCAATTCACACTCCCCTACAGATTTCAATTCACACTCCCCTACAGATTTCAATTCACACGCCCTACAGATTTCAATTCACACTCCCCTACAGATTTCAATTCACACGCCCTACAGATTTCAATTCACACGCCCCTACAGATTTCAATTCACACTCCCCTACAGAATTCAATTCACACGCCCCTACAGATTTCAATTCACACGCCCCTACAGATTTCAATTCACACGCCCCTACAAATTTCAATTCACACGCCCCTACAGAATTCAATTCACACGCCCCTACAGATTTCAATTCACACGCCCTACAGATTTCAATTCACACGCCCCTACAAATTTCAATTCACACGCCCCTACAGAATTCAATTCACACGCCCCTACAGATTTCAATTCACACGCCCCTACAGAATTCAATTCACACGCCCCTACAGATTTCAATTCACACGCCCCTACAGATTTCAATTCACACGCCCCTACAGAGTTCAATTCACACGCCCCTACAGATTTGTCTTGGTCATGTGCCTACCTTTCCTCTACTCTGCACTGCTACGGTGTTTATTGTGTTGGTTTGTGTTGTGTTTGGCGTTCTGACCACGTGCCCCTACTGGACATCTGTGGATAATAAAGAGCTTCACAGCTCATCGGATTCCTCCAGAATAAAAATTTTAAACTTAAAAACTCTGATGACGTCACTGCGTGGTGACGTCACGCGTCTCGCCCCCCCACTCCCCCGTTACCCCCCACCCCTCCCACCCTCCATTCCCCCCTCCCACCACTCACCAACCGCCATTCCCCCCACCTCCAATTCCCCTCCCACCCCCCCCCCCTCCTCCCCCCCACCCCCACTCCCCCCCCACCCCCCCCACCTCCCACCCCACTCCCCCCACCACCACCAACCGCCGCCATTGGCCACTGAGTGACGGTGACGTCACCACGGCGCCTGTGCCAGGCTGGGTGCACTTCGAGGCTGCCGCGTGAAGTGTCGACGGCTCGACACTGAGGTGGTGACGTCACGCGAGCGTTGTGTTTAACGATTTAACCACGTGACGATATTACGATATTAGCGTAAAGATATGAGCATTAGCTGAAGTGATGTGAATACGTTCGGATTACCTCAAGTAATGTTACATTTACCTGAGGTGATGTTACCTCGCCTTCCATTGCATTCCGATTACCTTACCCTGAGGTAATAATCTCTGTCTCCCTGTGACTCTGTCTCCGTGTGACTCTGTCTCCCTGTGACTCTGTCTCCGTGTGACTCTGTCTCCTGTGACTCTGTCCCGTGTGACTCTGTCTCCCTGTGTCTGTCTCCCTGTGACTCTGTCTCCCTGTGACTGTCTCAGTGTGACTCTGTCTCCCTGTGACTTTGTCTCAGTGTGACTCTGTCTCCCTGTGACTCTGCTCAGTGTGACTCTGTCTCCCTGTGACTCTGTCTCCGTGTGACTCTGTCTCCCTGTGACTTTGTCTCAGTGTGACTCTGTCTCCCTGTGACTCTGTCTCCCTGTGACTCTGTCTCAGTGTGACTCTGTCTCCCTGTGACTCTGTCTCCCTGTGACTCTGTCTCCCTGTGACTCTGTCTCGTGTGACTCTGTCTCCCTGTGACTCTGTCTCCCTGTGACTCTGTCTCAGTGTGACTCTGTCCCTGTGACTCTGTCTCCCTGTGACTCTGTCTCCCTGTGACTCTGTCTCCTGTGACTCTGTCTCCCTGTGACTCTGTCTCCCTGTGACTGCGTCTGACCGTCGTCCGCGTCTCGTCCCTCCGTGTATCTGCGCCTCAGCAGCAGCAGGTAGAGGTAACTTTACCATCTGAGGTAAAGTTACCTCAGGTGAAGTAAAGTTACTTCTATCTGAGGTAAATTTACCTCACCTGAGGTAAGTTTCCTCCCCTGAAGTAAAGTTATTTCACCTGAAGTAAAGTTACCTCCCCTGAGGTAAAGTTACCTCTACCTGAGATAAAGTTATCCGTGTGACTCCATCTCCGTGACTGCGTCTGACCGTCGTCCGCGTCTCGTCCCTCCGTGTCTCTCGCGCCTCAGCAGCAGCAGCAGGAGATGGGCGACTTCCGAGACATCAGAGGCTTCTTCACCAAGGCCGAGTGGAGCGATCTGGCCGAGTGCGAGAAGCGGCGCTACAGGAACATCAAGCAGAACCACGCCGTCCTGCTGAACCTCGGTGGGTACGGCAGGCCGAGCCTCTTCGCAACTAAACTAATTGTCGCAGTGATTATAATGATGAGACCAAGACGTCGTAGCAGAGTGGCATGCATGGGGCGCATGGTGGCGAGATGTTAACTAACTCGCCTGGTCTACATGAGGTCGTGGGTTCGATCCCGACCCTGACGATGCCTGTCATATCTGGAGTCTGCGTGTGTCTCTTCCCGGTGAGATGTTAACTCCCTCGCCTGGTCTAGAGGAGGTCGTGGGTTCGATGGCGACCCTGACGATGCCTGTTATATCTGGAGTCTGCGTGTGTCTCTCCCCGGTGAGATGTTAACTACCTCGCCTGGTCTACAGGAGGTCGGGGTTCGATGGCGACCCTGACGATGCCTGTCATATATCTGGAGTCTGCGTGTGTCTCTCCCCGGTGAGATGTTAACTACCTCTCGGTCTACAGGAGGTCGTGGGTTAGATCCCGACCCTGACGATGCCTGTCATATATCTGGAGTCTGCGTGTGTCTCTTCCCGGTGAGATGTTAACTACCTCGCCTGGTCTACAGGAGGTCGTGGGTTCGATGGCGACCCTGACGATGCCTGTCATATCTGGAGTCTGCGTGTGTCTCTCCCTGGTGAGATGTTAACTACCTCGCCTGGTCTACAGGAGGTCTTGGGTTAGATCCCGGTCCTCCGGGTTTTTGCTCCACTTGTAGAATCAACATCACGCGTTTAGAGTATTTGTCTGCTGCTATAATGTCCACGTGGTAAGCCACTTGGTTGAGCTGTCATTTGTGGCAGCCAGGTCGCTTCTGAAGACGGAGCCAATAGCTCAGTGGACTTCACCTGGTGAAGTAAAAATAGATTTAGTTTTAGTTTAATGATTTGTTTACCTTTACTCTACTTTGCACGCCTATCGTGTTTGTGTTTTGTGTTGTGTAACTTTCTGACCCCGTGCCCCCTATGGGACATCTATGAAAAAGAGCTTCATAGCTCATCGGATTCATAATCCTAGTCACGTAGGTAAAAATAAAATTAAAATTAATCAAAGTAAAATTAAAATTTATAAAAGTACTTTTATTAATTTAAATTTTATTTTTTACCTACGGATTCATAATGTTGGAGAGTAAACCCACAACATTTACAAAAATAGTTTATTTGACTTAAAACTTTCGTGACTGCAGGAATTCATATCTTAGGTTCTTTCGATAAAGTGACGTAGATAGAAAAACTAAAATAAAAATAAAGTGAATAAAAAATGATAAAGCACTCATGTATAATCAAACTTTTGAGTTATAAATTAGTCTTCTTGGTTTTTCGGTAAAGTCACATAGAAGGGGAAAAAAACATAAAATACAAATTATTAAAATACAATTTTAATGTTTCTTTTTAATATTTATTATTTTCCCTTCTACGTGACTTTACCGAAAGAACCAAGAAGATGAATCCCTGCAGTTGGGGGCCGTTGGCCCCCGGGGTCCCTCCCGCCTGCATCCCCTATTCCGTTTACGTTACCCCACCTCCCTATTACTCGCTACGGTTTCGCCGGCATTCGAATGCGACGCCCCTACTGTTACAGCCTCGCGCCGCGCTCCCACGCTGCGAGCATACGTGCGCACATCATCGTCAATCAAACGCCGTCTCGCAGTATAGCCCTGTGCGGCCCGTTACCAATGCGCATCCGTATTATACCCGTAGTGAACGTGCGCGCATACACGCATACAGCTCCACACGCGATACGCACTCTTGCGCCGCTCTGCGCAGCGCTCGCCGCCTGCTGGCCGCTTACGTTATGAGCGCGCACCTGGGGACGCCGATTACGCACGCGCCCACACACACGCCGCTCCGCGCACTCCAACTCAACTCACGTTATACTCGCGCACCTGTATCACACACGGAGTGAACACACGTGACACCCACTCTCGCACCGCTCTGCGCCGCGCTCCCCGAGGCGAGCCGCAGCCCACAGAATCACTGCGTACCCACGCGCAACCCGCGCGCTCAGCTCCGCGCAGCGCTCACTCACGTGGCGAACCACTGTGCACAGCGCACCCACACGCTCACACTGCACGACAAGATCACGCGAGACCACGCTTCGCTATTAATGATTTATTACCTGATAACTAATGTTGAATTAGTGAGTCGACGAGGCTGGCCTATTCCACTAAACCGGCACCTATTCCTATTTATCGGCTAGATTCTAATTCACCTTCTTACTCACTGTTAAGTGTCCACGGCGGTCCGCTGATCCTTGTGTTAACCGCGTGCCTCGGTGCGTCGCACGGACGTGGGTCGCTGGCTCGAGCTGCGTCTGGTCGCCTGGCGCTGGAGTAAGAGAGCGATTTCCCCTCTGCGCTCCTCTATTTATCCTCCCTACCTCAAAGGGGATCTGCGCTGAACAATGGGCTCGTGCACCCCAAGCCCGCGCACGGCGGTTCCCGGGCGTGTTGATATGCTAATCAGTGAGCGACGTTGGCGGCGTACATCCTAATTACTCCCTTACCCTTCCTAACAATGGGGCCTGCGCGCTCAAGCGCAATTATCCCAACCCTCCATGACTATGCGCAACAGCCCCTGTGACCCCGCTATTCATGCTGTCCCGTGCTTCCCCTGCTTGCCCCGTCGACTCGTGGGGGTGTGTGTGGG